AACCTGTGTTTTCTCGTGCATACTGACAGTGTTTGATCTAGTGGACTCTTTGAAAGCCGTAGAGCTTCGCAACAGGATCTTCCGAGACCTTCAGTCAGACATGTCTGTGTTTGAGTTGTTGAGCCCATCACCGCTGTCCAAGCTGGCATTGGAAATTGCGAGCAGGAGCAAGTTGATGGCAAACATGACAGTAAGGACCAATGCTCAGTAGAATATATATCAACGAGAATGATTAAAGGCTTTTCTGGGACTCGGATCTAGGCTTGAACTGCTAGTGGACCCAAATGCTGTATTCCACTCAACGTCTCAGCTCAACTTCATGAAGCCATCTTCAGAGCCAGCGAAAATGCCAGTACGGCACCGGGAGAGAGTATCCCGCTAGCCACGGTAAGCCCAGCCATCCTGCCTATGAAGGAATCCATAACAGTTGAGAACCACTTCCGCCTTTTCAACCGATGAAGTAATGCCGATGATTTCAGCACTTGATCCGCAAACGGGACAAGCGCCGCTATGATTACAAAAATGTCCCATTGAAGGAAGTCTCGTGCTCCATCCGCAATGACTGTAGTTGAGGCCTTGTCAATGTACCCGGCCGGCCAAAAGACGCGACGCAGATCACCCTCTGACGGGCCTAGTAAAGCCCACAAGTGCCCAGCTGCGGCAGCAAACCCCGAAAACATCAAAGACGCCATGGTGTAGGCTTTCGCACTCGCCGGCGCCGGCTTCCACGCCAAGTATGCTGACAATTTCCTTTGGGCCCAACAACAAGCAGGATGAGCGACAGCCAAGGCCAGAGGGGTAAAACGATAGAATGCGATAAGTCCTTGTCGTTGGACTATGGTGCAGGATGAACTGAACGCGGGATAGAGCAGCATCGCTGGAGTGATGGCACCCAAGATTGCGGTCGGAATCAGCGCGAATGCCTCATTGGCATCTGACGGGCCGACCTCCAACTTTTCACTTCCGTGAGCGTCATCGAGAAAACGCTCGATATGCGTGAAGCAGTAGAGGGGATACACAGCTGCAGCGCCCCATGCTTGGTTGAAAACGCCCCAAGACAGATGCTCTCTGTTATTTGATTAGCAGGCCTCTCTTCTTCATACCATGATTGCACACGCTCACAGAATTGCCAAAGGCGGCCGCTTCCCTCGGTCCCATCCCAGAACTAGCATACAGTGCGACACCGTTTGCATAGTTGTGAAAAGACTGACGAGAAGCATACGATCGGCTGATGATCCGTTACTAAGAATGTTGTTGTAGAAGATGACAGCCGGAACAAGAAACTGGTCAAAGCCGGATATCCCGGTGAAGCTGGTTCGGAGAACATCGCCGTTCGGATAAGTGCCAGTTCTCTTCACTGAACCCGCAGACCCGGCCACGCCGCTGCGGATCATCCTCCCCCAAAGGGCATCGTAGCCGACGAGACTTAGCCCGAGGAAGTATGTGTGCATCGTGAGATTGATACGTTTGGACAATGGCAAGGAGTGTGCAGCACATCATAGTGATAGGGGACGCGGCGGGTTTTAACTTCGCAGTCACACTTTGGTCACGACCTGTCCCAGGATGAGCGAGTCATGCCCCACTTGTAAGTTTTGGATCGATTTAAAATCATATCATCTAGCCTCTCAGATATTTGCCCTGTTTGCCTTGCAGCTGAAGTAGGAAGGATACTCCCAAACCTCCTTGTAGTACTCTAGCGTCTTGGTAAACCTAGCATACAAATACAGATACATACTCAAGCTTGCCAACGTTGCAATTGCAATTCCTGTCCAAAACGGAGACGATACGTTCCATACAAATATGAATGCTGTCTTCTCATAAGCTTGCTGATTCCGGAGCAACCACCGGCTGACGATCCCCGCAGCCAGCAGAAGTGTCACCGCCACGGGCCAGCCAGCCACCTTTGACTTCGATGAAGCATTTTGAAGTTGCGCTCTTTGAGCTTCCCATGCTTGAGAAGAGATCGGCACCGCTTCGTTCGTCTGCATCTCGAGTCAGCTGGCTATTCGCAGAACACCTTGGATTATCATAACTCACCTCTCCCTCCAGAACGCCGATGTGGAATTTCACGAGCGTTTTGTACGCGTCTTCAGAATGACCAACATACTCAAAGCTCTCGGTGCCGTCTGATCCTGCGACGTCCTTCAAGACCTCGACACCGCCAGGGTGGTCATCCACGTAGCTGGAAACATCGTATACTGCAGTCGTCAGACATCATTGTTAGATGTAGTGACGCAATGAGTTACCTTTGCCTCGGATAGACACCCACAGATTGTGGACTTCGTAGTGTTTCGCAAGCTCGGACTCGGTAATCACGTCCATCGTCAATTTTCATTTGCCAATTGAAAGCTGCGTTATTCCTCAAGCTTGGCCGTAGGTCAAAGTCTCTGCAATTCAAATTTCCTCATAGACCAATCTTCTGCGGACAGTCTCTCACCCATCTCAGCCTCCTGTATCCATGAGCCAGCCAAAGGACTGAGACCAGACTAGAAGAGTGGGTCCGGGCAGCCAAAAGTGGCATCAGCAGAGGGCCGGCCCGAGCGGGGGTTCCAGTTTCGGCCTTCGGCTCGATGGTTTTGTCTTTCGCCGATGGGGCTTTTCAGGTGCATCCCAGCTTCGAATCACCCAAAGAGGCAAGAAAGGGAAGCCAAGTGATTTTGAGCATCGCAGGATATCCGGGACCTCAAAGTACACGACTGCGCACAAGTCTTGATGCGTTAAGATTCACTGTCACGGATCGTCAGTCCTAGCTTTTAGGCCTCCCCCAGCCAAAGATCATCGTCAATTGAGGCTCAACCCTCGACTCTGCATCACAATGTTCCAACAACAGTTCACCATTGGCCACGGCCCTTTTGAGCGATGTCATACCTTGAGTCTCCCGAGCATCAAGAGCATGCAGGAGCTCAAGGCAGGCATCGCCAAAGTCTTTTCTGTGTCTGACTGTGACTGTAAGTGTGTGATACCCAGTGTGCGAGTAGCTCGTCGCTGACCATAGAGAAGCTATCTGTTTTTACAACAGAAGAGACGTTCTCACATCACTGGATGACATCGAAAAGTGCGATGCTCCAGTGCAAATCAGGGTTAACGGGGAGATCGTGAGAGAGCCCTCCGGACCAGAGCCATTGCCCTATGTTGGAAATCGCTATGAGCTGTACCCAGACCCACTTGGCAACTATGACCGCCTGTTCGGCAGATACGGGCCAGTCATTAAGACGGTCAATATGGGAACCACAATCTATCTCACCAACGACCCAGACGTGTCTCGCGAAGTTCTCCGCGAGGGTCAATTCTTCACCAAGACAACCTCAGATCCCAGTCATCCGTTGTATTACATGCGCAACAATGAGGCTCTTTTCACTTGCGATAGTGATGCCCCTGCATTCAAGCTCGCCCACAAGTTCATCCCCCCAAGTCTGACACCAAAGGCAGTCCGTCATTACACGCCAATCGTGCAGGCCTGCGTGGACAGGTCTTTCAAGGTGTTCGATGAGCTTGACGACAAGGAGCTCGCTTTCAATGTGTACCAGTACACTTTCAAAATGGCTGGTGAAATCATCTGGAAAGTCATCTTGGGTATGGATCTGGGGCATTTCGACTCCATTGATTCAAAACCCCATGAGACTATCAGACTGCTCGGCGAATATCTTTCTCTGATGAAGAAGACATCCCTCCGAGGAAGTTGGTACGGATACCTTCCATTCGGTACCCCGAAGCGACTTCGTCTCGTTCGGCAATTGCTTTGGGACGGTGTTGCCAAAGGTATCGAAAAATCCATGCCAGCGGAGACTTCCCCAGACCTGCCAATGAAGGATGCGGCTCTCAACGCGACTTGCGTGGCAGATTATTTACGCCGGGCAACTGACGACAATGGCGAGAAACTTCCGGAAGATATCATGTTGAGCAATTGCGTTATCCTGGTCGGAGCCGGCTTTGTCACTACATCCTCTCTGCTGGCATGGTTGATTTACGCCTTGGTCAAGTATCCCGGAAACCAAGAGCGTCTGCTTCAAGAGCTTGTCGACAATGGAGCAGAGGCGGGGAAAGAGTGGTCATACGACGAGCTGACCGAGATGCCGTTTTTGGATAAGTTTGTCAAGGAAACGCAGCGAATGCACAACCCGTCTTTCCAGACGGCGCGCAACGCAAAGGAGGATGTTGTCTTGCCGGGCGGATATTTCCTGCCCAAGGGCGCCATCGTCATCCCCACATTTCCATCTATTCACAAGAACGCAGCCCATTGGGATAACCCCACCCGGTTCAATCCCGACCGGTGGGAGACCGAGGCTGTGAAGAGCAGGCACAAGATGGCTTACACGCCTTTCGCGGCGGGTACTCGGGGTTGTGTGGGGTACAATCTTGCGCTGCTGGAAGTGAAGAGCGCCATGGCGAAACTGGTTTATCGGTATCATTTTGAGGACGCATCGACGGAGGCCGTGGTGTATGATCCAGAGTTCATTGTCGTGCGACCTTTGAATTTCTACGCCAGAGCGGTGAAGCGAACGAAGTGGCCACAGAAGCAAGCATGATGAGGTTGGGTGCTTTGCCACGGTCTTATTTCAATTTGATTTCATTCTTCTTTCAGTATTCTAGCGTCACTGTAATCATCGTCATTAGTTTGTTGCATTTTTAGTCAGGCTGCTTCAGTCATTTTGAACACATCACTCAAATTGAACGGATTCAATGGCTCGCGATTTACATCCTCGTCCCTATTTCTTATCTGCAATTGAACTTCTCAGGCAGACAGGCCACAGTTCCCGTGTTTCTCTAGGAGCATTGGCACGATGCTCTGCAATACCATTTCCTTTTTCGGTCAGCTCCGGCCCCGACTTGGGTCATCCCGGCATAAGCTCTGACCAGTCCGCCCGCCGAACAGGGCAGAAAGAGGAGACCAGTATTTGTTAGCTATGCCAGTGGTACGTGAAATACGACACGCATACCCTCAGTGATCTTAACAAGGGCCGACATTGAATCCTGCATTGGAGACCATCAGATTTGTCACAATGGCGACCAACACGTATGCCACGACATCCATGCATATTTGCGTCAACGCGGCCCCTGAGACCAGCAGCGTGACCACACAGCTAAGCGTCTTCGACCTGATTCCGCCGCGAGTTTACATCAAATTCATCGTCTACCTCCCACTGCAACCCAAAGTCACCTTCCAGCAGGCCTTTGCGCATCTGCAAGCCGGGCTCCAAGGCACGCTTCGCCAGTTTCCGTTCCTGGACGGTCGCATTTTCCCGAGAGATGAACGCGAGCCTGGCTGGAGGCCGGGACACATCGTAGTGTCGTACGACCCCTCGGGGTCCAGCGACAGGACTAACCCCCCGAGACAACTGGTCTTCAAGGACCTCTCGGAAGTCCTGCCCGACTTCGAAGACCTCCGCGACGCAGGCTTCGAGTTCTCGGCCTTTGACGACGAGCTCGTCCTCTCCGCACCTTTCGTGCCGGATCTTTCTGGCGGTGCAGATGTTTTTCTAGCCCAGGCCAATTTTGTGAATGGTGGATGCATCCTCGCGACGGGATTCCATCACTCTGCCAGCGATGCGACCGGCATGGTCACCGCGATGAGGGCCTGGGCAGAGCACTGTCGAAACTTGGGAAATCCTGACAGCAACGTCTGCGACTGGCTTGCACCGGAAAGTTTTGACCGGACCCTGCTGGAAAGATTGTGGAGCAAGTCCCCCGCGAAGCCAGTCGCGGAGATCCCGCGCGACACGTGGGGCTTCCTCGGATTCCAGCCCCCGGATGCGGAGGATGATCAGGCGGAGCATCCGGCCCCACCTCCGGCGCCGACTCGGACGATGGAGTCAAGCATCTTCTACATCTCGCCCGAGAATTTTAGTGCACTGAAACGAGAGGTGCTTTCGGATGGTAACGACGGCTCGGGCTTGTCGGCGAACGATGCACTCCTGGCGCTTTTCTGGCGGGCCCTGATGAAGGCGAGATACCGTGCAGCTGTTGCCGCCGGCCAGTCCACCCCACCAGGCGAGGTGTCTTACCTCGAGTCACCGGTAGACGGCCGCAGAGATTTCGATCCCGCTTTGCCATCATCTTACGCCGGAAATCTCGTTATTGTCAATAAGGTGCCCATGCCGGTGCTCGACCTCGCGGCACCCACGACAAGCCTTCGCGACGTGGCTTTGAAGGTGCGCGCCCAGGCCGCCAAGGTGAACCCAGGGCTTGTGAAAGATGCATTCACTCTTATGAGGGAAGTTCCGGACTACACCAAGCTGAAGCACGCATTCACGCGGCTGGATGGCTTCGATGTCATGATTACGTCGGTGCTGCTTCTGCCACTGGACAAGATCAATTTCGGGGCTGACATATTCGACAACGACGGCAAGCCTGAGTCGCTGCGGCCGCTGATGGATGCGTTCAACGCCAACTTCAGACTTTGCATGGTCCTGCCAATGAAGAGTTACGGTGGCATCGAGCTGCTCGTCAGCCTGTTTGCTGATGAGATGGACCAGCTTCTGGAAGACGACGAGTTTGCGAAGTTTGCGGCGTTTTGCTGCCATTAATAGCATATGATGAAAGAGGTAGAAAGACGAATCATTGAATTGTCTGTTAAAACTGTGTATCGGTTATGTCATTTTAGTTTGATCGTCATCTGAATAGGGCACTCCGTGAGATGAAAATGAAGGACAAAAAAGCCGATGATGAGTTTTCAGCGCAAGGCCAACTGTAACCGGTGTTCCTGATGCACGTGCGCTGCGAGAACGAAGTTCGGGCGGCACTGAGATCTCCCGTCGTGTTAGTTGCGAGTCAACGTGTTGTCAATAATGGATCGATTGTTCTCCCATTCTTTCGGGTGCGACCGGCTTCGCACTATGTCCCAAACGCGTGGGAGGCGGTGAGTTGGACAGCCTGTCCGCACCGACTTTCCACGCGCGATACATAGGCCAGCTGCTTAGCTGCAAAATACGGTCGCGTGTTCTCCCCCAGACTTGATGATGACGATGCAAAAGTCTAACTTCTAGCTTTCAGAGCGGTTGCCGTCACAGCCGCCTAACCGTCTCAGCTGTGTGTGGTGCAGATTATGCCCAGACGCGCGAAGTGAGGCATTACTTTTCACCTTCTTAAAATACAAAAAGGCCTCTTATCTGGAAATAGAGGTCATGAGATGTGTTCGTGGGGGCGCTGATGGATCCTTTGAGGCAGATGCGATATGCCGCAACATCGCGAGCGCCCGCTGCGCCGTGTTGTTGCTATGAGGCATTTGAGTGCTGCGTCGCTGATCTTACCCGTCGACTGGTTGGGGGAAGAGGAGCCGGGGGCTGTGGTTGTGCGGAGGAGGCAGCCGAGTCAGAAGATGGGATTAGTTCCGTGTTACATGTGAGAAGCCCGCGAGAATGGGGGAACGGAAGCTTGGCTGGAAGTGGCTTAAGCTCGATTTTCTTGAGGCGAGGCGTCGTCGTGTAATCTGTGAAGAAATCGGGCTTCTTCAGATCCCAGGATTGGGGGCCGTGTTACCTCCGCCGGCACGAAATTCCCTCACGCTACAGTCTGCCTGGCCTGCACGTCACCGTGTTTTGGGGGTTCACAGGCTCGACAGGGGTTTCGATTGACCGGATTTTCCCCAGGTTGCGATTGTGATAATCCCTTGCGCGGTGAGATATTGGGCCGATGTCTAAAAACCTTAACCTGACTCCGCCGCTTTTGAGGCTGTGCTAAAATATTAGTGCAAGACACCCGTTGGGTTGGGCACCTTTTTACTCTCTCCTCGACATCGCCATCACCGTCTTTGTTTTTCTTCAGCATCCATCCTTACCACATTATCTGAATCCATGCAAAGCACAGCCGATTGCCTCATTGGACTTTTGCCAAGTCGCAACTACATCAACCAGTCGATCATGAGACGACACCTGATGAGAAGGTGAACCGCAGAGACCTACTGGCATACAACAATCATATCCGACCGTTCTTCTGTCTTTCTGAACAACCCTTTGAGAATGGCACACGTTTCTCGTCAACCACCATAAGGAGCTTCAAGATCCTCTCACCAGATTGCATCATCAACCTTACACTGCTAGTGTGCCATCTCGAAAGAGAATGGTCCCCCAGCAACACCTCGCCCATCCAACCTACCTTCGGATCTAATCTACCAACCCTCAATATTCCAACATGCCCGTGAGGCAGACGATCGAGCCCACCCGGGCCCACGATGCATCCGCTCCCCTCTCTCCTTTGAGTGCTCGACAAGCCGGTTCCAGTCCGCGCACTCGCGACAGAAGCGTCGACCACGCCTCGGCCCGCGGAGACATTCTCGACACCTTTCTGGGCTCGCCGACGATGCAACCCTTAAGCCGCCGTCCGACCTTTGACTCAACTCGGCGCACGGTCTCGCCACCGAATTCGGTCAAGGCGTTCGCCGCAGCACGTCGTCGCGGACAGGAGCATCGGCCGGGCAGCGATAGCGAGGACGAAGACGGCTGCGAAGGGGCCCCCGAAAAACCTCTTGGCAGTAGTCAGAGCTGTGACAGCCGCTCACACAACACATGTGGCCACCGAAACTCGTCGGGCTTGGCAACGACGGATATTGACGGAACGTACTTGCGAGAACAGGTGCGCCCCAAAGACAGACTGTATATCGACTTCGACTACCTCGAGACACTAGCTCATGCAGAGGATGGAGACCAGCCTGACAGCTCGGATTTTGCGAACCTGCCCGATAGTGCGATGCCGCATACCGCACCCATGTTCACTGCAGACGGCGATTTTATCGACATCCTTACCGACCGGGTCTCCATCTCGCAGGAGAAGGCGGATGCTGCGAGCAATGTCCACGTGCGTGTTAGCGAGCAGCACCCCGAGCAGAGCCGATTCAACTTCTTCTCGTCTGCCTTGGAGTCGACCATTCACGCTGCGCAGTTTGGGGACCTCGTTCTGCCCGGTGAAAATATGCGGACCTTGTTCGACTTCCCACATGAGGAGCCGGATGGAGTATGGTGGCTCAACATGAACAACCCTACTGGCTCCGAGGCATGGACCATCTGCAAGGCGTTTGGTATCCACCCTCTCACCATTGAGGACATCATCCACCAGGAAAGCCGGGAGAAGATTGAACTGTTTCCGTCGTACTATTTTGCTTGCTTCAGGTCTTTCGCGACCGTGGACAAGCCTGATGGTCATGGAGTTGACTATCACCCATTCAACGTCTACGTGGTCGTCTTCCGAGAGGGTATTATCAGCTTCAGCTTTACGCCAAACTCACACGCTTCTCGGGTCCGTTTCCGCATTTCGCAGTTGAAGGAACAGGTGTCGCTGAGCAGTGACTGGATCTGCTACGCGTTGATGTAAGGGCCATTCTAGAAACAGCGTGTACCCCTGTCTTGGTCATGACTAACTCTGTCCCAGTGATGACATCGTCGACTCATTCGGCCCAGGCATCAATCAAATCGAGAAAGAGGCAGATGCAATTGAAGACCAAGTCTTCATCACCCGCCCGGAAGATAATCAAGTGTTTCTCCGCCGCATCGGGCTGACGCGGAAGAATGTCATGAGTTTGATGCGTTTGCTTGGTGGTAAAGCCGACGTCTTGCGCGCATTCACCAAACGGTGCACCGAAGACTACGATGTTACGCCGCGAATGGACATCGCCTTGTACCTCAGCGACATCCAAGACCATGCGGTAACGATGATGAACAGTCTCGTGCACTTCGATACCATGCTCTCGCGGTCACACAGCAACTACCTAGCCCAACTCTCCATCGATAACATCGATATGGGCAACCGGACCAACGACTTCTTGAGCCGTGTCACTGTGATTGCGACTATCATCGTTCCGCTCAATGTGGTATGCGGTTTGTTTGGTATGAACGTCAAGGTGCCTTGGGGCGGAGATGAGAATTTGAACGCGTTCTTCGGCATCATGAGTGGTATAATCTTGTTTGCTGCTATTTCCCTCATGGTTGCGCGACGAATGGGATACTTCTGAAGATTTGAACTGAAATGCACGAAAATAATAGATAAAATCATTGTAATCAGATCTAGTCGCAGTAAAGACGTTCTGGTTGCCACAATTTCCAAATTCAATCTTGTCTTCAAAGCTATCTTTTGAATGAAATGCCATAAGCTCTTGCATGGATGACTCGGTTTCTGCCGGACTTGCTGCCGAGACTTGCCCCACTTCATCTCCCGAGAGGCGGCCCGCCTTCCGCGCGTCTTTCGGGACAAGGAAGTTGACGTCGGCGGAAACTAATCACAAGCGGCAACAAATGATTGGCTTGAAACCGATGCTGTCTTTTGATACTATCCTAACAGTGTGGGATATCAGCTTCCAAGTTCAGATCGCTTGTCCTCTAGCTGTGGCCAGACAACGAAAGAACCACCTTGATGGCTGCCCTCTCTCATATCGTTCAGCGAGACTCACCTTCCGTAAGCGAAGCGAGTTCTTTGAGGTGTTAGCAGTCACCTACCCAATATCTTGGGCTCTGCCGAAGTTGGGGGCAGGTAACTTCCTCTTCTGGCAAGGAAGATTGCCAAGACATGCGATTTCCCTCTTGGCTCTCTCTTGGCGGCGGGTGAAGTCGCATCAAACTCCCCGCACATGCCCCAGCTGGAATATCACCTACCGCTTTAGCCTGTCACTTCCGCAGTTTGGCGAGGGAGTTTCTTCTCAGTGCTCTTGCTTGTGACGGAAAAATGTAGAGGAAGACGCAGCATTCAGTCACTCGTTCTCATGCTTATAAAATGGGGTCCTCTCAGCGGCGATATCCTTCGGCAAGGCCTTCCTCACTCTTGGTGCCAAGCCCCAAAGCCGCGACTTTTTGCCAAACTCGATCTTGGCTCCCGTAGCCATTTCTAGTGTCGCGTCGACGTCCTCCATATCCTAACTCACCATGAGGGCTTCCATCCTATCGGCGGCTGGGTTTTTCACCCTGGCCTTGGCCACTGTGGTGCCCAAGTCAACCAAGGTTGACTACAACGGCTTCAAGGGCCTTCGCATTACTCTTCCTGAGGACGCAGAGGGTGTTGCTGATCAGATCAGCGAGCTGGCGGCTGCCATTCTGAACCCCGGGTCTAAGGAGAAGCTCGACGTGGTCGCGTCTCCTGAGAATGCCGACGCCATCTCCCAGCTTGCACTCAACACGACGGTTCTCGTCGAGGACATCGGTGCTGCTTTCGCTGAGGAGGAGACTGCTACAGTCTATGCTGGTATACTCACGTTTTCATAGCGATCTGAAAAACGGTTATCCGAGTTCTCGGTTTGTCGCCCATAGCTAACCTCAATCGTCTCAAAGTTCCTAGCGAGACGTGGTTCACCGCCTACCACAGCTATGCCGATCACCTTCAGTTCCTTAGAGACCTTCAAGGAGGATTCCCTAGCCAGTCTGAGATGGTCACTGTTGGAACTTCCGTCCAGGGTCGTGCTCTGACGGGTATCCACATCTGGGGCAGCGGAGGCAAGGGTTCCAAGCCGGCTGTCATCTTCCACGGCACAGTCCACGCTCGCGAGTGGATCAGCACCATGGTAACATAGCACCCCTCAGGACTCATCTGTATCAGTCTAACGCGACAG